ACCAGAGCACACTGACTTACAGAGCTGCTCTGATAAGGGAGTATGTGTGTGGATAGCATGCCAAACGACCTAGAAGTACCACCCTCCTTCCAAGCAGCCACATCTAAAATACTGGACTCTCTAACAGATTATATAAGAACGCCTTTTAATCTTGATGCAATCAGAACAAAACAACCCTCAGTATTTTTTAAGCCATTCCCAGTGCCCTCATGGATTAACATATAAAAACCCTGCCTCTTACTAGTGCAAAAATAGTTGAAACATTGTAATCCTTTAGGCATTTTGAAAAAGAATCAGACCTCGTTATTATGACAACCATAAAAACAAACAGAATGCTGATGTTAAAAGTTCTCTTTCACATTATTATCTACCACTAAAACTATTCAATTATACTTAAAAGACGTGATCTTCTCATTTGATTGTGCACTTCTCTGCTCCTGAGACAGTCTTGCGATCTCAGATATCAGTTCAAATGAAAAATGTGGAAGCTGAAAGGACTGATATAATCAATGAAAGCAGATCCTTTTAGGCACAAAAGAAAATGAAGTGATTGTTTTTATCTGCAGCAAGAACATTCAAGTTAGTGATGTCTAACCAGATGCACAGGGCTGAATAAGGATTAGATAAAGAAAGTGGAGAAGGGGAAAAAAAGTCTTTCTAACATGTAATAGAAATGTGCAACAGGCCTAGGCGAGTAGATTATACAACAACTACAAAACTCTTATCTGCTAGAATATAACTTTCAATATCAGGAAAGGTATGTGTCAGACCAGAGGAAAAAAAGTGGGGAAAAAATTAAAAAAGGAGAAAAAAGACTTCATTTCTAAGTTGAGTTAATTTCTGACATTCAAAGAGGATGGGGAAGAAGACGTGATGCTGTGGCCAGGAGTTGTGCCTAAAAAAGAGGACAAGGTACCTCATTCACTTGTTCAGGATTCTGATTCTTTCACTGACTGTGCAACATTTCTTTACCCAGAGGCAGATGAGCAGCTCTGTGAGCTAGTAGTGTGTCATAAATTGTCCCAGTTCACTCGGTCCAATCCACCACCTTCAGGTCACGTTAACCAAAGATACTTAGAATTTAGTCAGTTGTTTAACAGACTCAGATAATGCTATAAGTGAAAACTGCCGCAGGCATTACGGGTATTGACCTCAATCCAAGTTACAGCATGTGCCAAATACCTGCCTTAGAAATGCACAGCAGTGAGGGCTTCTCGTTGAGAAGATAAAATGGTATACGCAATTTGCTCTCACGTGCCTAAGTATTCTACATGTTTGAGAAAGAGGCCAGCAATCTTTTTAAAACAATAAAGGTTTTCACTTTAACACAGGTACAGATTCACTGCTAGTGAAAAGAGAAGGAAATAACTATGTCCTCTGTCTGTGTTGTAATACCAGCTATTGAGAAGACACAGGAAGAGCACAGGTGTACTGTGGGGGTACACATATACTCAAAAAAACAATGGTGAGAGAAGTAAGATCAACACCTCACCATGCTAAGAAGAAAATCCACTGCTTGAAAAAACATCTAGCATGGCTCTAAGGCAGATGAGAAGGTCAGTGGATTTTGAGTGCAAACAGCATATCTGATCTTAGCATCTCTTTACTCCTTCCAATATACAGAATCCTTAGGAAAATCAGAACACTGGAAGAGTTCTCCAAGTGGCACAGTAGCACAGTAGCCTGGCAAAGCACTGCCAGGTACCTATGCATCTCACGGATGAGGAATTTCCTAGCAAAGCTTTCCAATGCTATTCGAGCTCCTTGAGATTTTATTCAAATCGCATCCATTCATGTCACCTCAGCACGCCCAGAGCAGGTCGAGATCCCAGCACTCTGCAACGAGACAGCCTGGGAGCAGATTCAGATAACAATCTCCTCTGTCCTTGAAACAAAAAGCCCTGGGAATTCTTAAAGGATACTTCTCTGCCTATATTCAATAGCAGAATAAGTGTGGGTCATAAGTGTGACAGACTGCATCCTTTATATCTGTATACATGTGCATGTGGTTTGGGCAAGCATATTGGAAGAGCACATGGCGTGGGCTTGTCCAAACTGAAAAGCTTTATTTAAGGGAACACTAGAATGTACACGAAGTTGGACTTTCTCCAGAAGCACACTAAGTAAAATAAGGCATCACAGCTTGAATTTCTCAGAACTAAAGAAAACACGATTTGAATCTTCTCACTCACTAGTGAGCACATATGATCTGTGACAGCAATCCTGGGTAAATGGAATAAGGTCAATACATGGAATTGGTACTGTTTCTAGGGATAAACAAACACTTGTGCAAGATTTCATAGGTGATTTGAAGGCACGCGCTGCATAACCTAAATGCATAGGTGGTGCCATAAGTTGGTAGCTATATTAACAATAGCCAGCTGCCAAACTGCAAAAGGTAGGTATTTGTACTGAGACAGAGGTTAAGACTTGTAGAAATATGCTGAGTCTCAAAAACTTCCATCCTCTGAGAGTCTTCTGTTTATAAAAACTGTCAACAGAACTTTGCCATAATATATTCATATATTCACCAGAGGTCAGGATGATAGTGGTTCTAAGAAAGCTGCATTTAATAAAACGTATCAGTAATTTGCTTTTTAGATCCAAAATCTTACAATGTAAACGTTTCCAACAACAGGACATCTCTGTCATAGAGGATTTTTTTTTTTTTTTTTTTTTAGTTCTGAAGGTAACAATAGCTTAAGAGAGTAGAGAGGAATTTTTGTTCTGTCTTTATAGAAGCATGATTAAGTAGTCCTCAGTACAGGAAACTGGATGATAAAGCTAGGGGATGCTGCAGCATTACTCTGCTACCTGATCCTGGGGGCAAGCTGAGAGACACCACTTTCTTTGAACAACAGTTGGCTGGGAAATCATTGCAAAGGCATCTAATATTTTGGGTGCCACTGTTTCTTGACCAGACTTCAAGTCAGGGTAAGGCAGTCTGTACTCGTGGTCAGAACATCTGTGGATAGAATGTTCTCAAATCTTTTCTCATGATAGCTGAAGCTACAACAGAACTGTCAGGGGTCCTTGGACCACACAGAGGTGCTCAGCAGAAAGAGCTGGAAATGTTCTCTTTTTTCCAAGTCTTTGAACTAGAATTCTGGACGACACAGTATTAATGCAGAAGGTATTCTTCACACAACTATTACAAACATTTTCTATACCTATAACACAGAAAATATCTACCATGCAATTCAAACATGTATTTGTTTTTGCCTTCTTAGGGTTCAAGAAGACAAAACAGGAAAATCTTTACATTTAATTATTATGTAAGGTAGGAAATAACAAAAAAAAACACAACAGAATTTCAAAGAAAAGAAGGTCATTGCCTACAATGCTGCATGGAAATCCTATGATTCAGTAAAAGGTTGAGAGAGAAATGCATAAGGAAGGCTGCTGTACAAGGAACACGTATGTCTTATCCATTTCATTAAGGTTTAAGTTTACCATTTTAGTAAGCTTTGGAAATAGACATATAATTCCATCCCAAAACAGGACCATAACTTTAGCTGGGAGCATGCAAAGAACAAGTCTGTGTTAAAACATATCGCAAAGACATACTCTCCACTGTTCATACACTCATTTACTACGTACTTGATTCCCATTTAACAGCTCACACTCAATGTTGTTAGGTACTAACCTATAACAATATAAACAAAACAGTTGAAATCTTTTCTAAATAGACCACAAATTGTCTGGTTGAAATTAGCCTAATTAAAAAAGTCTCAGTAGATGCACACAGAAGTCAGACAAGCAAGAAATAGGATAGCTCTTAACACCAGTTTCCACAACTGGATCAACTTGTCTCTCCAGTCTTTTGGCATTTCATTACAGAAGCAAATTAACTGATTCATATCAGAACAAAAACAACCTTCCATGTATTTTTTTATTATGTTCATAGTATGAACAAGGTTAACTGCTTCTCAGGTGCTACTAAAACTATAATTTCATAAATTACATCGTAGGGGTTATCAGATTTCATAAGAGACCTAACGCAGGTGTTCCAGTGAGCAGGTACACATCCCACCGCTAACCAGCAGGTTGTTGGCAGGCATTTCTTAGCTGAAACAACCGCAGTAATCTCTGCTTTGGAGTAAGTGTCTCTGGGAGAAAAGGAGAAAGATGTTTAATTCCCAGGCAGTAAGAACATGAAAATTGCCTGTTTTGTTAGGAGAGCTGCAGAAAATGCCTTTCTGACAAAAGTCAAGTGACCTTTCTTTACCAGCAATGTCCTGCACACTGCTTTCATATCTGACATTTTCTCATGAAATTTTCTTCACTTACGCCACTTTTTGCCAAACGTTGTTGACAGGAACACAAACTCAGACTTCAAGTTTATAAGGGAATTTGCATCAGTAGCATCAACAAACGAAGTAATTGGCACTGAAATTCATTTTTATTATTTCCAGGTAAGGAGAGCAAAATACACAAATTCTCTCCGAAGGTCCTTATCACAGAAATTGATTTAATATCAAATCCACACAGATCATAAGCCAGTTAACTCACGGATCATTTCTGAGTGTTCGTTTCACAAGAATAAAATGGGATTCTACCTAACATTTTCTTTTGCAGTCAGTCATAGGGAAAAACATCAATTTAACTGTAGGCTGGCTTATTAAGAATAACAACCCATACATTCTTCATAGTTTCTTAAACATTTAAAATAGTTAAACCGTATCTGTAGCCAATATTTTGGTAATGTCTCACATTACCTAGTTGGGTCATACAAAAAAAAGCCATTCTCCTTTCTTAAAGTGACACACGCTAGGGGAACTATCTGAAAAAGAATATCACTGCCATAATGACATCTGATTTTCTAAACAACAGAAGCAGAAGTTCAAAGTTACGATTCAGTGCAAGGATTAAAAATTAAGGAATGCACTGGGTGTTGCTTTGCCTCCACCAGCCCTACCGCAAAATTTTCACCTCCTTTTAAAGATACGCCCAGCATTCTGTAACAGAAAAAGCACAAAAATTCACAAGAAAGTACTCACACTGTTTGGGTGTTGAATGGCAGCTTCATACTGCAGCCTAACCCGCTGTGGCATCATCACATCGTCCTGAAATAAACAGCACGCTGTTATTACTGAATATAAAAAGGGTCACAGTGCAGCATTCAGACACACATTAGAATATGCTGTTAAATTAACATCATTTTACTGGCTTGTACTCAGACACACAAATGGAACAAATATGAAAGTCACTGTGACCATTGCTTGGCTTCTTTCAAGCACAGAAATAACGCATTTGCATCTAACTTCATCAGTGCCCACGAGCAAGTGGAACTAAAAATGAGAAAGCACATTTTAAAAAGGCATTCTTATTTTCATCTGCTACTTTGCTTCAATCTCAATAGATTAAAATACACAGAACCATTCCCCTGAATTTTCTCTAAGTGATCTTTCAGTGCCTTCTTTAAAATATATAAAAGGAAATGCATGTGGGAAAGAAGGACAACAGAGGAGTGTATGGCAGAACAACAGTCATGAACAAGAAGTAAACAACTGTAAAGTGCACACACCAATAAGAGATGTGCAGCTGATAACATCCTCAATTCAAAAAGTTCTTCACATTCTTTCTTCATAGGCATTCTTTGCAGTCTGAGCTGTATGTAGTTCTGTTGCAAAGTACAGGCCCTCTGCCTCTGGATCTTCCAGTACAACATGTTTTATAAGCACAAAAAGCTTATTTGAGAGTTTATGAAATTCTAAGCAAAAGCAATAGAACCCCAAGATACACAGAAAACACATCAGTGTTGACTTGGCTTTGAAACACTACTTAGATGTGAGTTTGAGGTTTATGCTTTTTTCACTTGTAGCATGAAGGTCTGCTTTATTTACACATGACAAGAGGGGTTGCCTTGAAAGAACTTCCTTCCCTTCTTTGAACAGATAGGAGAAATCTCTTTAAAATTATATATTTTCTGCACTATGGCTTTAGTCTGTTAAAACAACCAATTTTAGCACAGATTTTCCTCCCTAAGTTTAATCTCCTGAGTACTATCCCTGTATTCTTTTACATTTTGGTTTCATATTTTTTCCATCTCAGTATCAACTCCAGCTTTCTTACACAGTTGTTAAAAGTAACAGAAGTAACAGAATTAGATCCAGCTATTGAACACAAATCAAGGTTAAAGATAAAACAACATAATATTGAAACTGATTCTTGCACCACGCAAGTTCGTAAGAGCAGGAAGAGATTTACTGTCAAAAGCATTAGTCTGCATGCTGCATTTAAGGTAAGTTTAATAATAAATATGAGAGATGTTAACCATTCTCAAAGGCAACATAGTGGAAAAGAAAAATCTGATTTTTCAACCTTTGTGATAAAAGGAGAAGGAAGCTCTCCACATCAGTTACTTTGACTAAAGGGCTTGTCTTCTAATCTACTGTACCAACAAGTCATCGAGTACACGTTACAGCAAAACACTTATCCTATCCCCTCAAAGGACAACAACTTTCTTTGTCAACTAATTGTACACCTATTTTTGAAATTAAAATGTGGTTTTAATGCACAATACAGAGTTATATTTTGACTGAACTTTGTTTACTACCTTAAGAATTAATTATAACTCTTAGATGTCACCTTGTTTAATCCCTACAAAGCAATAATACAAAATCCATCCATAAGAAAGGAATGAAAATGCTCAGAATGAGGTCACTTTTGTCTCTTACAATATACAACATAGGCTCTCATGCTAAAATACTCCAACATACATGATCCAGCACAGCAGATAAATTTCAACAACTCATGCGTACGTGAGGATGAACAATAACTTCACTTAAATCATTCAAACCAAATTCAAACGTTCTATTCAATGTCACGCTTTTTTGAGCAGACAACTTGACAGCAAAGGTTCCCCTACCAGAACATTGCAGCATTCAAACTCTAGTGGCAAAACTAACAGAACTACAGAACTGGGCTTTAGGCTACCATCGAGACCATCGCTAAGCTGGATGTTACAGAATAAGAAGGAACACTGTGACCACAAAAAATGGAAAATGCCCTTTAAAAAAAACAAAACAAATAAACACATTTTTATTCTTTAATGCTTGAAAATGATGAACTCTTACCCAGAATGCCCTTTAACCTTAAAAGAAAAATGCAGGCATTTATTCACCTACAGTTTTACACATACAATGCACTGAAGTTTAGTTTTGCTATGCCTGAGTTCACAGAAAGAGGGGGAAAAAAATTTGTTCAACAACTTTAATATTAGACAACTAAATGTTCAATTATTTTATCCAGTTGCACATTATATAATCACAAATGATTATAATAATTAAACCAATGTTTTTCAGGATATTTTTCACTAATGTCATGTCAGACAAAAGACAGTAAAAAATATTTGAATCTAACTGCAAAAGCATATTTAATTTGTTTAGAAAAATGGACTACATTCAGAAAAAACAAGGTATAGTCAGTCTGTTCCTGTCTCCTAGGTGTGTGTGAGTAGGGAAGATAACATTGAATATATATATTTAAGTCACAAAATCTGTCCTAGTAATAGAATAAGAAAACAAAACCAAACTTTGTAGAAGAATGTAGAAAAATTAGGTAACACCTGGATTTAGTTTCAGCTAAATAGGTACATAGGTGCATACAGTGCAAACAATGCCAAGCAGGTACAGAAATACAGCACCACAAACAGAAGGCAACATCAGGCACTGAAAATAACCCAGAATTTGTACAAATGTTGTTGATTACAAACACATTTCCTGTTCTGCAGTGTCCATTCTGAGTAGGGAAACAATTTGCTGAAGGATGGGAGAATGAAAAGAACTTTTTTTTCCACATGAAAAGCCAGCAGGGATTTCTAAACAAGCCCAGATGTGTTTCTGTCAGTGGGAGGCTGTGATCTCCATCACCTTTCAGTCCGACAGGCGCTCGACTGCTTGCATTCCTACCAAACCTGTCCCTTCTGTAGAACATTGGCTCACTCCTGTTGAGTTCTATACAGCTTGCAGATGCTGCAGGATCAGCAAAGCTCATTATACAGCTATCAGCTGGGCTGTTTTCCTTCCATCCAGAGGCACGCACAACTACAATTATAAACACGCACAATTTACACTGAGCTAGTTGCTTTGTTTTACTTCATTCATATGTTTAGTTGAAGCAAAGGAAATTAAGTCAATAATCCGACCTAAAGGATATTATTCAAAGCTGTTGCTGCTTCAAGTATGTCTTTCTTTAGTCATTCTGAGTAAATTCAAACGATAAACATTCACTGGCTTCTTCAACCAGGCAGGCTGCCTAGACCACACGGAAATCCACAGTGATAACTTGATAATTTTCCATTGAAAGTTTTTTAATTCCACTGCAGGAAGTGAAATAAAACATACAACTCAATGCACAACACAAATTTCCTTTTTAAAACCAAGGACAAGCTCACATTAAACGATGCACTAATTGAAGCTCGATACTGTCCTGTCTGAATCTCACATCATAGACCTCATCATATGCTTTTCTAATTCCCTTCATTTGGCTGTTCAAAAAAAGCCACAAACAACAGAAAAAGAACCCAGCTGACGCACTGCATCCTGACAGCACTGGCACCTTGTGCTCTGCAGATACTGCAGGTGAAATGCAGCTTGTTGCAACATCAGGTGGAAGGCTTGATTCCATGACAAACAATATGGCATCTCCAAAGTCTTTCACTGCGCCCAATGGATGTTCATCTATCCTGCACCTGCTTGGACTGTAATTAAAATCTTCCTTTGCAATTGTTCAGTGTAACTCCCTGAACTGGGGAAGCAGAAGGCCTGTGACCTCCAAAAATCGCTCTGTCCACAGGAGCATCAGTGCAAAAAAACACTCATCAGGCAATTTTCCAGAGGCAAGTTTTAAAATTAGCCCCACACTATTAAAAACATTAACACTGTGCATTTGAATGGCTGCTGTGCAGACACCTGAGCAGAGCACATCTCAACTACCTGTCAGTACTTGCAAGATTAGGGGGAGGAAACAACTTTTCTGCCTCTGAATTAAATTGAGGGAAAAAAGCAACAGCAAAGGAAACACAAGTCTAAGAAGCTGAATTTATGGTGCTCTCCTTTTCTCTGGATCGTGGCAACTTAAAGGCCTATAAGGGAGGACATATTTGGTGACCTTGGGCACCTGACTGACGAGCACATTGCATCAGTATAAAATTAATTAAAATCTTCCTATGAGGACTCAAATGGCTAGAAATACTGTAGGTCAAATAAAAAGGCACGCTCAAATTTCTTCTTAAATAGTCAAGAATCCTCCAATAGTGAATAAACCTGAAGTATTGGGAAGACTGAACGTTTCTTAGGATCCAATGTGTGTTCTTTTTAAATAAACACGTTTTTATAGGCAATGTTTGAGGGTCAATGAACACAGAGATTCAAATCAAGGAATTTTTAGTATAACCCTCCTGCTGTGCTAAAACAGACTGAATGTTTATAGCAAAGATGGCAACCACTACAGAGAGCTGACAAACTAATACCATGATAAAACGCAACTGGTAGATAAAGTAGCCACAGATAATTTGAAGAGGAGAAAAAGTAACTGTGAAAGGTGTTAGCATAATTAGTGAATTCTATTGTCATCACGACCAAGATTTTCTGAGACTACAATAAGAACAGTTTGTTAAGTATCTTCACATTTTCTAATTCACTGGTGGGAAAAAGGCCTCAGTAGTTACAGATTTCACTTCTAAACAACAGCTACAGCAACGAAACTCCATAATAGCTATTAGTCAAACAGCTGCCACTTCATACTAGAATAGGCTGATCAAATTCTGACAGTTCTGAGCTCTGTAACCTTTTTTTCCCCCCACATTTCTTCCCAATTTGTTGTCCTCACAGATCTGTGTTGAGAGACATAACACAAGCAGCTTGACTCCAGCTGGAATGGCAAGCGAGACCGTCTCCCTGGAGCCAGAACTCTCAAAGATGCATAAGTGAAATGAATGCACAAGGAGACACAGTATTTTAATTCACCTATATGAAATGCATGCAGACTATTGATGCAGCCCATTTCTTTCCACATCCACCTACAGCAAGCCTGCAATTATTGCTGCATCTGAAGGTCAATTCTTTGGCATCACTGCAGCGCGTTCCACACGGCTGATGTCAGCATTCCTTCCTATGGAGCCTGACGCTGGGTTGGTAACTGAAATGAAGAAGGTAGGTGGCGTGTAGAAGCAGAGCTATTAAACAGCTGGCAACATCTGTGTTTGGGCTATGATCACAACATTTTCTGACTATGGTCAAAATATTGAGCAATTTTCAGACTCGTAGCAGTTTCCACATGAATTTTATTTCCTCTGACCTGTTTTCAGCAAACAATGGTTGCCACAAGGAAAGATGGTACGAAAAACACTGAAGTCACTTGTTTATTATTTCTTTGTACCAAAATCAGGGTTCTGGTCGTTCAGAATGTCTTTTATTTTGAAGCCTCTAGCTCAAAGCAGCTACAGAAATGTGTAACACAAAGGCTTGGTGCCTTCCTCCAAGCTTATGCATACTGGAATTCATAAAATTCTCAATCAAATCACTTTGACGAAGTCCTAATTATCAGAAACATACTAATAATAATCTTGCAGAAACTCAAAACCATTGCTGATTGGATTTCATAATAGATGTAATAGATCCTTGTCTGCACAGCTAGTCAGCAAGTAGAAAAATACACAGCAGCACGAAGGTGAGTGCTGCATAAACATCTCTTTGATGCACATGAGCCTGACCTATCCAACACCCATGGATTTCTGTAGGTGATTTTAAGTTCCATGTGTTCAATAAATGCTCAGTTTTTGTTTGCTGACATACCAATAGGTATCAGTTTCAGCATTTCAAAGCTTAACTCATCATAAACTTGTATACAAACATTAAATACACCCTGTAAAAAACTACTAATGAGAAGCCAGGATACATTCAAATAAACACTTTCTAAAAAGAAAACTGAGCAGATAAACACAGTAATAGTTTAAGAAAAGAAAAAATACAGGTGAGAAAAACCAAAGCAAAGCTTAATTTCTTAGAAAAGAAGACAAGAAACTTCTGCCACATTGTCTTGATTCAAAAGAAATGCACCAGTGATTAGCCATATCTTGCAGCAGAACATTGATTAATTCACAAAATTGCAACTATCAGAAAAGCCTTTCTACCCAGCTGGTACAACAAACAGAGCCCATAAACTGAAAGAGTACCCAAATTAAAACCTGTGTGGTTATAAGGCTGTAGAATTTGCATCCCTGCTCTCATGAAAAAGATCATGACACTTTCTAACAGGCAAAGCCAATCATAATGTTAACTTGTAGTCTATCTGAAAACCTACACTTCCAGCAATCATTTCCTCCTAAACCAGTCAATTCAGAGGAAAGAATTAATCTTCAGGTGAAATTACATGAGATCAGTGAGCCTTAAAGGTCTTGCTCTTCTTGCCTGATCCCAGCCACGTGGCACCATTCCTCAGATCAGCTATGCATATTGGTGAAACCCTTCACTGCATATCATACTGCATAAAGTCAGATAGTTATCTGCAGGTGAGTGAGCTGAATGGGTTCACTGAAGGAGCCCAACAAAGGACGGGAAAATAATATATTCAAGAAGGGAGGCAAGGCATCTCCAATTTTGCATCAAAACCCAGCAGATTAGCTCTTGGTTTCTCATCTATACCACTTTCTAAAGCATGTGGGAAAGAAAAAAATCTTAAAAACACCTGAACAACTTTGCACACCTCTGCTCATAACTTCTTGTGAAATCCCATAGAATCAAACAGTGATAAAAGGTTGTGGGCCTTCTGCAGTTTGGAAGACAACTGTAGGTCTATAAATATTTTTAACACCCAAACACCTTTAAAGAGCTTGTATTTATGGCAAATCAGCCACCACACTAAAAAGAACAAAAGAATCTTATTGACAAAATTGAATTTAATAAAATCCATTAACTTACTGAATCCAGAAAGCAGAGATAGGTTCCTGAGCTCTGCATTATTGCTTGATTTTTAGCAAATCCAACTGTTGAGAAAATAAATATAAAATTATGTGGTAGGTTTTGAAATTTTTTTTTTTTTTTTTTTTTTTTTTAATTACTGCAGCTCAGTACAGATTAAATAGACAAAAAAAAAATCAGTATTAGGAAAAATGATTTTTTTCCCATATTAAAACCAGGTAACTTTTAAATAGCTACATACACACTCATTTCAGTATTGCTCTCTGTGTGGTTATCAACTGTATGTGTTAAAATTCTACCACTTAGCAGAATTAGACTTTTACCACCCGTCCCAAAATACACAATACATAATATTTATCTTGATGAGTCCAGCTGCCCAGATCTCATACCCAGCACTTCAGATGCTGAAAAAGATGCCCAGATATACATGTATTTAAATCTGATCACAACAAATAGAAGACAAAGTTCTGTTCCATGTTGCAAATACAAAACCTTGAGGACACGTAATACTGCTGAGGATGTGGGGGTTTTTAATTCTTTAATGGGAAAACTAGAAAGATAAAGCTAGGAAGTCTCACCATTACTCAGAGTGGGGTAATTTTAAACATTATCATATCTAAAATGCCCGATTTTGCATGTGAAAAAGAATCAATCTTCTGTAAATTAGATGATACAGCTTCAAATTTGCTCAGGGAACAAATTTAGCTGGGCTCAAAGGTTCAATTAATTTAATTCACAAGCTCCTTGGCTATTCTGCTGAGTTACCCGAGAAAAAGACTTATTACTGCATTGCTTACTGCTTCAAAGGAGCATTCTATCAACTGCCAGCACAGCCGTAGCGATAGAGGCTCTTCCTTGTAATTGTTTGATTCTGAAGTACTCTGATTAGTGGAGAGCCTATGAGTCACTTTAAGTTCTCCACAGGTTTCTTGCATTATCTTACAGCGTACTTAGAATCGACTTTCTATGCATGTATGAATACTTCACACTCATCTACAGTTACTCTCATTCTCTTTTCTTTTGGCAGTAAGAAAAGGCAGCTGGCAAAGTCAGCACCTAGCACAACACAGAGCTGAGCCTGGCACCAGCAGTTTTAGCAGGAAACAGTTTTAGCAGGCCTGAACATGCCAAGCAAGAGAAAGGCCACTACTGCATAGGACCTTATAAAGAAAAAGTACAGGATATAACTAAATTTGCTCGATGTCAGTCAATGCTCAGATATACCATGACCAGCTGTAAAACAGCCTGTATTTACATTTCTATCTGCATTTCAAAATGCCCCAATATTTCAGCTGTCTTCAGGATAAACTAATGAATTGCTGTGAATCAGTAATGAAACAAGTGAAGCAGACTCAAAGACAACTACAAGATGACAACTGTATTACTGTGAGAACTTTTGAAATACCTCACATCTTGTTTTCCAATAAGATAATGAAATATTAAATATACTTTATGAGAAAAAAGTTGAAAAATATTTATTAAGATGAAGACAGTAGTTGCCCTAAAGCTTTTCTTATGCTAGACAGTAACTTTGAAGGGAGGGAGAGAAAAACATGCATATTTTAAAAATTCTTGAAACGAGCAGCATAGCTCCCTGTAGAAGAAACTAGATATTAAAAAGTTTGCTCCACAATGAACCCTATGTTTGGCACGAGTGAAAGAATTTCCTTAATATTACTCTACTGAAGAAAATCAAATGTTTGTGCCAGGTCTCTGAGTTTTGTAAGGCCTGCTTACTTGGTGAAAAGAGCCTGTTACCATGGTTACAACCGTAAAAACTTAAGCCTCAGTGAGATATTAACATTCCTTACTCTTGGAAAGAAAAAGGTCTCCTTTTTTTAGGCAAGTGACCCTTTCTTTTTCCCTAGGTCCCCCCTTTTCTTTTACATGTTCGAAAAGAATCAGAAATAAATCCTAATCTTGTGTAAATAGTTGAAGATGTGAAGCCTGACTAGTACATTGTTTCTGTAGTAAAGCATCTTCTATTAAAGGAAAGACTCCTTACAGTTGTAACTAGTCCTTAACATAATAAAAGTAAATCACTGAAAGCAAACAAATACTATGGATTTCAAGTAACCTGCTCCTGAAATGTAACAACCAAGAAGAAAAGATGTCCTCATTCTCATGGTGACCTGAGGTTGACTTCCACATGAATAAGCTTGGCTGTTTTCTCTTTTTTTTTTTTTTTTTAAAGAAAAAAAAAGCATTTCATACTATTATTTAAAACAATGCTCACAGCTGTGCCCTGCCCCCACCCAACCATTTCTTATAGATTTGGTCAGGTTTTGGCTGTGCTAACACTGGCAAATACATGTTAAAATGACAATTAATCTGACATCTCTGTTTAGTGGCACGAGATAATCATTGTAGTTCACAGCTCCAGCTTAGTTTCAGTTCTCTAGAGTGCAAAGGTGAACTGACTTCAGAGTATTACCATAAATTATTGTCAAAATATCATGCCTTGCAAACTGAAAACTAGTTTACACACATTAGTAATAAAACAGTTCATTTGGAACAAGACTATATATAGGAAATGCTTTGTTGAAATTGAAAATATATAACAAAATATATATTAAAAAATATTATATATATATGTACAAAAAGCACTGCTAGCAGCTTTCCAAAGTACCATAATTAACAGCCTTCTGTATTATTCTTTGACTTTGCTGCTGAAAAAAATCTCAGCCTACTTAGCTTTCTATCTCACCAGCCACCCTCTGCCTCTTCAGTTAAAGCAACTGCTGCCTTATCTTCCAATTCTAGCAAAAAGAGCAAGATTTAAAATCAGAAATACAGAAGTTTTACAGTTCATATCCCACCATCTGTACATTCATCCTACAGCAAAGTACTTTACAATTCAACTTGATGGCTATTTACAGGCCGACTGCAGAACTCCAGAATTGGCTTGAATTTAACCCTGTTTTAAATCAGCAGTTTTGCAATGGTAACAGTAAGAAACCTGCAGTCTTCACGTTAGGTAACATAGCAGCCATGAATAAAGGAAAGAAACCTATAACTTGTAATTAAATTGCCTTGCTTGTAATGATGGGTGTAGAACTTTGAAAAGGGGAAAATTGTTCAAGCTCAGGAATCAGAATTGAGATTCAAAAAGAAAAGAACCTTTTCACACAGTTCTGCCCTTAGGGTCCTTTATTTCACATTTTTAGGGTCAGTTCTACAATCCTGAAGAATATTTACTTTTTAAACGGTTATTTAAGAAATCTTGTCTGTCTTTTTTTCCTTAAAACACATCCTTTGAAGATAAATCAGATATCAGAAAGCCACAGTAAAACTGTAAGCATTAACAACATTGTGTACACTACAATTAAACAAAATTCTTTTGCTGAGTAGAGCACAAGTATCAAGCCAAGTTCTTCTTTCCTGAACATATAAACAAAGCCTAAAAGCCAAAAACAATGGGGCCAAATTCTAAATTAGAATGAGCTTTTGAACATGGAAATTTGGAAAGAAATGTGATGTTTTTTTCCCCCCCATCACAATTCAAGTGTGCTACTAAGATACTTTTCAAAGTAGAAACCAGATGTCTACCATAACCATTAAAAAAAAATCATTAAAAACAACCCACTGCTATATTACATACCTCCTCGAGGCTGAGCTGAATCATTACTACCAACGACTACTGGAATACCAGCATCTTCCAACTTGACCTTCCATTTCGCGATGATTTCAGCTGAACCATCCTATAAAAAAAAAAGATGACACAGATGCAGCTATTCTAACACGTGTGGTAACCCAACCACAATCCAAAGTAAAAATCCCTATCACAAACAGTGCTGATTTGGTCAGTATTTTCAATAGGGTCGGAGGCATACCTTACTGGCATCATTAAAAACTGACAGCTCCATGGTTTGTTTAAAATCCTGCTCCCAAACTGATTTTAAGCATTCATCTAGCCAATGCTGGCTGTTGTGAACAGGCACGATGACTGACTACAAAAAAGACAACACAAAATGTTAGTAAGAACTACTTTTTTCATCTACTTCCAGCACAAGAACATTCATTAAAAAAGGGGAAGTGCCAGATCTCTGTAAAACTAAGTGCATCTTAAGAATGAAGAAGTAGGCTAGGTACCTTTGTTTTCATTATAAATGAATGTTCTACTTTCATATCTATCAAACTTCACATTTTCTGAGTTCTACAAGATGGCTTTAGTAAATCTCCACAGAAGCAATAGAGACCACTCAACCAAAAATGCTAACAAAATACCTATAACACCACACTAGTTTGTTTCTAGCCTCCTTGCATTTCATAAAACACTCTTTAGTTCCCATGAATATACTTTACTCACCAATTTTTTGTTATGCTTACTGCCCAATTGGTGATGCTTACACATGCAGCCTGTATCCTTGGGCTCTAGCCAAGGTTTTTTAAATGACTCTATCTAAAACTGTTATCAAACACACCAGAAGATGACTTATGACCTACTTCCTGAGTTACCATTTCACCCACAGCTTTTTCTCTTACAGCCTCTGTTGTTTCAGCCACATACTCACAAGATGTGAAAACCTACCTGAAATACTTTAAAATTGGTTAGCAACCATAGATGAGGATTCCTCTGTCACAGTACCCATCATTATTCTTACCCTGAACCTCAAGTATTTCTATACTTCAAAATACAACATCTTACATTCACAGCATGCAAGTCCTAAGAAATTAATCTCAGCATTAATACACCAGCTATGTTTGTAAAGGGAGAGTCCAAACCAGTAACCTGTGGAGGCAGCTTATAATAGATGGGGAACTTAGGGCACAGGGCATAAGTACCTTGTAAGGAGTCTCATGGGACATTTTGAGAAGTTCCTAGAAACAGAACTCAAACCCCTTATCATGCGGTGCATAACCATAATGCAAAGCTGGAAGGAAGAGAGGATTAGTTCCTATTGGAGCACATGAATATCTCAAAAAAGAAAACTGCCAGAGTACCTAAATGGACACTTGTGAAAGATTTCCCCTACCCACAGATACACTTACATTGCGACAACACATGCACATGTATCACTAGGCAGATACATTTCGTGCAAGTGTTGTTTCATTGGGTTTTTGTTTCTTTGTATTCACAGGTTAGGATGTAGGTACATTCAGGTATCCATATATTACCTAGTACAACCATTAATGAAAAAACCCATAAAACTTCACAGCAAAATGAAGTAAACCTGTAGCAGTTTAAAACCTGATTTTGGCAGGATGTTACAACAGGAAAGAGGGGGTTTAAGTAGAGGGAAAGCTACCTTAAGTGTTTAAGCAAACAAATTCTTTGACTTCTGTTGTAAAGAGATAAACAAGTAAAAGAAGTTAAAGAAATAAGTAAAATGGAATACAGAACAATGACAACATCTGGAGAAAAAAAATAATTTCAGAACTGTCTGAGATTATTATATCAAGACTTCAAAAAATAAACAGGTCTGAGGTTCTAAACTAAGATATTTGAAGTACTCAGGATTTCAATATTCTTTATATCTAGATGGCAATTAGAATAAGTCCCTAAATGTTAATCATCCTACCTTATTCATTCAGAAAGAAAAGTATTCCCCCTTTTATTTTTCCAATGCAGTTTTGGACATCAAGAATAATTAGTATTTTTTTTTCCCTAATTAACTCAGTAAAAATATGAGCATGCCACCACAATTAGATTGATGTTGACCAGAACACAGTAAAAATGCAACTTATTTATAAGCTTTTGTTCATGGTGAGCTCCTGGTTTTACTCAGGGGAAATCAGTAGTTAGATTTAGCAGTGGATTTATCACGTTAGAAGTTTTCTGCTTAGCCTGAACTGACCTGATTCACCAAGATGCTCTGATCTCAGCACAGCACCTCAGAACATTCTAGCACGTTCCTGAGCACATCACTGTGAGCCAGTTCTACTTTCACAACTGCCATTACAAGAAGCCAGATGCTTGTCAAAACCGGGTGCAGAGCTGATCTGCTGCTGACTCCTCCACGTAAAACATGAAAAAAAACTAATAACTGTACACAGCAATATGCTTCCATTACCAGAGAATTGCTAACACAGCACATCAAAGTGATTCCTTGGGTTCTATCATTCATTATCAGTACAATCATTCATTATCAGTACACTGCTTCTCTGCATTCATGTTCTTTTGTTGGTTTTAAGTCAAAGAAAAACTGAAAACACCACAGACAGAAACCTTCATTTCTCTCCAGTTTACTTCTACATGTGCAGCCTGCTTTAAAAGTTGCAGCTGGCACCTACTCTGAGCTGAGTATCCATAAGCTGGCTTCTACCACTGTGCGGCCAAAACACACCAATCTCGTTGGCTTATTTAAAAAGGAATAAACCTCAACTAAGACACTACGTTTCACTGACAAGTGCAGATTAGTACAAAAAAGGCAGCTGATAGAAACCTCCTGAGATCTTGTCTAGTTGCTCTGTCCCAAGATGAGGTCAACCCCAGCTCTGCCGCACTCGATGTATCACAGCCTGCAGTGCCTGCCATTGCCTTGCTGAGCCAATCTCTGGCAGCTGGCATCATGGAGATCTGCAGCAGTTTTCCTAACCTCTTAACTCCTATGCTGCAGTTTTCTTTAACTACTCTTTCCCACTCACAGCCCAAGTTATTACTCAAGTTCTCTTTGCAGCAGCCATTTCTATATTTGAAAACTACCATGATGACAGAGAACTAGAAATACACATAATGCACTTCCAAATAATTTTAAGCCAACACAAGGACATAACTTGCAAATAACTCGTGTACATAACAAGATCAGCTATCATTTTATCAGCATAACAAGATCTCATAACAAGATCAGCTGAGCCAGAATTTTCTGTTACCTGAGACTGATTTATAGCAAAATCCAACAGAGAAGCCTTTCATAGCCTATAGATTCTGGACATTAGGAGTATTACTTTTCGGAAAGGGTGGTCAGGCACTGGAATGGATGCCCAGGGAGGTGGTGGAGTCACCGAGCCTGGGGGTGTTCAAGGAAAGACTGGATGTTGTGTTGAGGGACATGGTTTAGTGGGAGCTATTGTAATAGGTGAACGGTTGGACTGGATGAGCTTTTAGGTCTTTTCCAACCTTGGTGATTCTATGATTCTATGATTCAGTACAATTAAAATACAGAATGATGAACCAGATCTGGATTTGAGCATTGTGACACTTCAGATTTGCCCTGGACATCAGCAGCTCTAGAATGAGGCCTGAAGCTATTTCAGCTATTTAGCATAGTAGTTTTGCCCTGACTAAGCTGAAGATGATGATTCTTGGCTCCCCTGCTAAATAGGTTTTGATCTATGGTAAAAATGGCAATGCAAAATGACTAATGGATAGTTCAATCCGCTTCCTTCTAAAAATGTATTATTCAACAAGAACATCCTTCTTTCCACTCAGCTACACTGCAGAAAAACAATACCTCAACTGCAAGACTGAAGTGGAGAAATGTGTGTTTAAAATAATAATAAGTGTCAGATATCAAGCAATGGAATGTTTTATGCCCAAGAAATCTCTTATTTCTGGCATTACCACCATCCTTTTCTAGTGAGGACAATAAATAACACCAAAGTGAAATGCTATTTTCAGTTTCAGCAAATCTCAGTTCACGCTGGCTCCAACCTTCTGTATCTGAATGTGAAAATAAATTCAAATAATCATTTAAATGCCACTGAAGATTCTACAGAAGTCAGAAACTGCTACCCTTAAACAAAGCTTGTGAATCAATTGTTGTTCCGAACCATCAAGAACTTGAGGTTGCTGGCAGAAACATGCCAGTTCTGTTACATCTCACCACTTGTACTGAACCCAGGAAGATTTCCAGAACACCTGCCACAGGACCTGAGTTTCTATGAAGCTCCCAATTCCACCTAACAACCTGTGCTGTTTTACTTTGCAGTACAAGAATGTTTGCTTCACTAAATACAAACGTAAATATAAACTGCTGCCAAACCATACCAGTGGTACATAAATAAATTTGGGCATGGGTAGACATTATAAAGGGTTTGTTCAGCCTGGAGAAAGCTCAGCAGCCTTTGAATACGCGGTGGAAGCCTGTAAGAAGGAATGAATCAACTTTTTATGGAATGGACACCCATAGGACAAGGGGGAATGGCTTTAAAGTACGAAAGGGGAGATTTAGGTCAGATGTGAGGAGGACATCCTTAATCCGGAGGTGGTGGTGCCCCATCCCTGCAGGTGCCTGAGGACACGGATGGGCTGTGGGCAGCCCGTGGCAGGAGGTGGAACCGGATGGTCTTTAAGGTTCCATCCGAGCAGAGCAGTTCTATGACTTGTAGAAAAGAAAAAAAAAACGAATAAATTTAAAAAAAAAAAAAAAAGTTCAAAGTCCACACAACCACACACCCAAATGGAAAGAAAAAAAAAATACAAAAAACTGCCCACGCAGCACCCCCAGAACAACCCGGCACGCCGCTCCTCGGCGCTCCGCTCCCGCCCAAAGCCCGCCCCGCCTCCCTCAAACACACACACGCACGTACCACCTGCACGGAGCCGAGGGGGCTCCCAGCGGCCCTCTCCGCCTCCGCCATGGCCGCCTCCGCCCCTCAGGCGGCCCTTTTCTCTTCAGGAACCGCCTCGGAGGGCCGCCGCCCGCCTCAGGACGGCGCATCCGGCCCGCCCCGCTCCATCGCGCCCTTCCCGCTCGCAGCAGCGGCGCGTGCTCTCCCCCCTCCTCTCCCGCCGCCTCCTCCTTCGTGGCGCGCGCGCGGAGAGGCGGTTGCGCAGAGGCCGGAAGCGCCGTGGCGGGGCGGTGCAGCGGGCGCTCTGTCGTTCGGAAGCCTCACATCGTTGCTACCCGCCGGTTGCGCTCGGCTCCGTCCCTCTTGCTCGGGATTCTTCGGCCCAGCCCTGCAGAGGCACCTATAAATAAGCGTGCCCACAGTTTCCCCACGCGTTCCCTCGTACTTGTTCCAATTAGCACATCCCATGCTTTTAGACGCCCCTGCTCAGCGCTATCCTTGTTATTCTTTCCTAACCGTCTTATAATAGATGCGTTTTCACTGGCAGTGATGTTATTATCAATCATTTGCTTAGTGGAGCTGTCGTTGTGCAACCACTCGCTTCCTTGAAAGCGCTCACAACTAAAAGGGATTGCAGGACAAGGCCCTGCGCAACAACCTATTCAGAATTATTAAAAATTCACACAAAGCAATCCTTGTCAAGCAAAATCCCGAGATTATCCGTGTTTATCTGGAGCGCCTGTTACACAGCCAGACAATTCAAGAAGCAAACGGAGCAGAGTTATCTTAAAATGTTTGCTGGCACACCAGGCTGAGAACTGAGGAGGTGAGGAAGGCAGCCAAGCAGTAATTCACCCCAGGAATCAATTTCGAATTATCTGCACAGCTTCTCTCCATCCAGCCTGGGTTTAATCTCTCTGCGAACAGCATCGCTAAATGCAATCGTTTCTTTTTCTGGCGACAAGAACTGCCAGCACATCCGTGTCGCCTACATGCTTTGCTTTATCTAAGAAAGTTAGTAGAGTATTGCTTTACTGACACTGAACCACACAGAAGTTCCAGTCAGACCAATGCCTCATTATATGAAACAGTCTACAAGGCACAGAGAACCCCTTGCTTCCTTCCCCCAAGGAAAGAGAACCAATTGAAACCACCAGAAGCGGTTTCTAAGTTACGTTCTGTAACTGACCACAGAAGGTAACTAAATATTTATCTCAAATGTGATTTTCATTTTGGACAGAGTTTTAAGGGTCCACAAACACGCAAAAACCATACAGTGGGACTTCACTCCAACCTAGGCATCCAACTTCACTGTGCAAGCCTTTATCTACTGGATTTTAAATGGAATTTTTGAACTCTCACTTAAAACCATTTTCAAAACAGCAGTCCATTGTTCCGGTGTCTATTCCTTTTTCATCTGAGTCAGAATGAAAAGTGCTCTCCTAGAGCTGCCATGACAAACTTGCTTGGAAGCAAGCACAGATGCTTTGAGCTTAGTTGTACTTTCAATTGCTTTGCTTTCAGGATTTTCACAGTAGTGGAGAACAGCACACAAGCAGTTATTACAGCTAGAAGCATTACAGAATCAAAGGCATTTTTCATCAGACTACCTTTCAGCTTTTATTTCTGAAAGCTTTGTTAGGATCATTACTAGAAGTTTACAGTTCTGGACAACTTAGCTGGCAAATAAGTCTTTTTCCTTGTCTTGGTGGAAAGGCATAATATCTAGAAAGTTATTTTGTTCTCTCTACATTCAGCTCTCATCTCAAGAGGACACAGACTAACAACAGTATGGACAGTTTAGACGTACCACATTGTAAGCACAAATCTCACTTGACTTTACTCCCCAAAAGATCAAGCTAACTCAGGGTTTAAAATAGTATCTTTACAAATCAATCCATTTGACATTGCTGAGCATGTGGGCAGCTTGGTTTCATTGCATCTTCATTACAAAGACAAGAATGAATGAGTACAGAGCTTTTGTCACATTTGTCTCTGAATTTACAAGATTCAATGCTGATATTGCCAGAACACACCATGTTGAAAGCACCATTCAATGAAGCAGGTAAAATGATCAGCGTAGAGATAGTTCTGAAATCACTTCTATTCAAAGAATGCTTTGAGCTTCCAACAACGCTCAGTTGTTTTCATAGAGCATCACAATCAAATGGCAAGGAAGGAGATGCAGTATTCTTGTTTAGAGTGCTGTGGAGCAGAGCAGGGACTTCAGAAGCTGATTGTGGTATTACTGCTGTCCTGAGACGAGATCAGCTTTGTCATTGCTGACTGATGCTATCCTGTTCTCAAAGGTCTCACTCCAATAACAGACATCTTCAGACATCAACATCTTCAGACAACATCTTCCAGTCCTTACTACCTTCACCCTTTGAGTTTCTTAATATTTACCTTAGGTCTTGCTGTGATATTTAAGTCCCCTACAGCCGTGGGGGTTAACAGCTTTTCCACCTAGCAGAGATCCTGGCACCTGTTAGCTCTCAGATTTAGATTTTATTACCTAATAATTTCCCTTTTATTGTACACAACTTCTTGCTGACCAACCCTATCCCCTGAATAAAGACCACAATTCCTACTCTGTTCCTCTGTTTAAGCCCTCTATTAGTAGCTGGA